CACCAGGAATACCTAAACAGCCACGATAGACGGTAAGGAGGGGGAGGGGGGTTCTGTGTTAATTATGTTACTGAAATATTATCATGCTTCGTACTAAGCTACGCCAGGCCGTTCGATCTTAAGCTGTATATTTCTAATAAATATCCACCGATATATGTTTTACTCGATATACGTTTGTGGAGATCGTTCGAATGGTTATCCTCCTCGATAAATACACACGCACTGTGATGAGAAAAAGTATTGTGTGTGTCGCGAGCAACCTATGTTCACTGTTTAATAATTTTAGCACTGATGCGGACATCAGTCCTCTCAAAATGTAGTGGTACAAGAGCTCTTAGCACAGCATTCAGTTTTACACTGTTGAATGCTTTTTCGTAATCAACGAATGCGAGGAAAAGAGAGAGAAGTAACGTTAATATCTCATGCGCACTTTGCCAAGTGATTTTGAGCCTGTTATGCTTCATTTTTACCTGGACTAGAACATTGTGGATTTTATTAGTCGTTTAATAAGAGTCGTGATTAGCTTGAATTTTAATGTATGAAGACAAATAAACGGTGCTTTTTCAAGCATTTCTAATAAGGAAGGGCGCAATAACATGTAATACATACAAGAAAAATGAAGTTTTTTTAAAAAAATAAGTCAAATAACCGGAAGGCATTGTGATCGTTTCCTCTTCTCCCTTCGCTTCTTGCTTTATTTTTCAACTCTTTTTACTTCATGCTGGTAGGAACAGGCCAGAAAGTGGTTGAGTTACAGAACATATAGTATTATTTTTACATGGATTTCATAGAATTAAGTAAAATGTTACAAATGTTTCAGATCGCATGCAAGAATATCGACTCGGTGGTCGACGAAACAAGTTTGGAAGAGTTTTTGGCTAAAGCTGAACTTGCTGGCCGAAATTTCACTACCGAGTGGAAGGATTTCCAGTTATTAGAGCTGTTAGTTCCAGGAATTTTTCAGTTTAACAATTAAAAATAATTGGCCAGCGCATGGGCTGCCCGTACGAAGATGCGTTTTTTGCATAGCTCCCTGCAGATTTTTGCCGCTAACGGCACTGGTTTTTCTGGCAGATGCTTCTAGCTAAAAGAATTTTAGACTGGCCACCAGGGCTGTCAGGAAACATCCCTTCAAAATTCCAGTCTTCGAGCTTCTTACGTTCCCGAGTTAGCAACTTACCCGAAGGAAACCTTCACGGCCCCGTACGTAGGCACCACTCTTACCTGCGAACAGGGTTTGAGCTCGTTAATACCCGCTTGAACGGGGAACATCCCCCTAAGATTTCAGCGTTCTAGCTTCTCAGATCCCCGAGTTATGACATACCTCAAAAGAATTTTGGCGGGCCCGTACGCGGGTCCCAGGTGGGTAATGGCGCCCATTTTGGGGATTGGGGCCCGTACGTGCATGTAGATTAAGTTCCAGAGTTTCAGCTCTGTAGCTTTTATAGGCCTTGAGATGAAAAATCGGGTCAGACGCACACACAGACACATGGACACACAGTCAACCCCTCGTCAATATGCGCTTTTGTATTGCGTAGCTGCAAAAAAGGCATAATAAAGTGAGTGAATGAAAAATTTGGGAGGTTAACACCTGGATGCAAGCGAATAGTACAGCATCTCAAAAAAGCGCGAAAAAATAATCATTCTTTTAAAAAATAGTCAATTTTTCATTCTTCACCTTCTTTTTCCTTTTCTTTTTCTGTTTCTTCAATTCTTTCTTATCATAACTTTCTATTGCTTTGACCAAATACAATTCCACGTAACGTACTTTGGTTTTGTCAGTGTAGCTGATAACTTTTCCATAGTTCTGTGACCGAACTTTCATCGCCTAATTCTCGCGACCCTGGCCTTACCTGGCTTTTTTCGTTCTTCGAAAAGAATTGTCCGATCCTTCAATTCGCTAATTCGCGAAATTTTTAAAATTTTCGTTCCGGGCGTTGCTTGTGGATAGGATTACTTTTTCCGCGATGCCGAGAAACATGTCAGGAAGCAAATGCGTAACCTTATGCGATTATTTTAGCATGTTTTTATTAGTTTTATTAATATTAGTTCTTTTAACATAATATTTTATTTATCTTATTGGTAAATATTTATAAATTACACAATAAAGTGAGCAAAATGGCCACAATGTGGAAAAATGTAACTTTTTTGCTCTATAAAAATAGTTTTTTCTATTTATTCCATTATTCTGATGTGCAATTTTTTTGATTTTTTCGGGTTTTTCATCGCTTCGTTCTGTTTTTAGCAAATATTCGTTATCGTATAAGAACATTTTACGTTGATAAATTGCAGGGAAAGTTCTAAAACCGTCGTGAGCACACTCAGTGCGAGCAGTACATTAGCGGAGTTGAATCAAAAATATGGTGATCGTCTTCGGATACCTCGACGGCCACCAAAACATCTGTGGAGCACGGCTGAAGAATTAACGAAACTCGAAAATGAATATTTTCTCGAATGGCGCAGAAATCTTGCTGATTTGCAGGAAGTATGTTTTTTTTATGCGTTTTTTGCAGCTATGCAATGCAGAAAACGCATATTAACGAGAGGTTGTCTGTGTGCGTGTGTGTCCGTGTGTTCGTCTGTACGGGTTTTTATGCGTTTTTGCCGTGCAGCGCTAGAGCGCTGCAACAGGCAGCAAAAACGCATATT